GGGCACCCCTGATGGCTGATGCGCCCCCACCCGGGCAGGAGTACGCCTCGGTATCGCAGCACGACGATGATTAGCCAGTCACGGCGAGTGACAGGGCGCCCCCTGCCGGCGTCTCCAGCTGCGCCCCGTGCGGCAGACTACGCGCTCTACGCACGATTGTGCCTCTCTCGTACCCAAAAAAATGCGTATACTTTGTGTGGGAAAGTTGTGGCCTTCTTCCGTGTGCGAGAGATGGTCGTTTTTCATGCAGCGCGATGTCGTCGGCCGTGCCGCGGCTGTGTGCGCCTCCGCCGCCGCGGCGCCTTAAAGCTGCAAAGCGCAATCGCGCTATCGCGGGCCCTTAGCCCTTTCTTTTCACCGATCTCTGGGGCCCCGAGTGAATTGCATTGGAGTGAAGGGTACCCCTGCAGGCTCGTGGGCGCCCGTGTGTGCGTGTGTGGGCGAGCAAAGAAGTAGAAGAAGGACAAGGAGTAGGCTGCAGCGCCGTGTATGAGCACCGGCCTCTGTCCCCGGATCAGGCCTCTGCCTCGTGTCTGTGCACATCCTGGGAGAGGGATCAGGGCCTCTGGGTATTTAAAGGAAAGTGAGCCGGCCAAACTTGTACTTGTGAGCTCTACACCCTCCCTTGTGAGCCGGATGGATTTCATTTCTCTCTGCGTTTTCCCCCAAAGTTTGTTCCACCACCGAAGGCGTTCTCTTTACCAAAAGAAAGAATTTACGACGAGAAAGAAACCAACTAGTCGTTACGCCAGCTGGGGCGCGCTGCCTGGATAGGTCTCGCCATGTCGGCGGAGAGCATCAAGGTGGCGGTGCGCGTGCGTCCGTTTAATGGGCGCGAGAAGGAGCAGAACTCCAAATGCATTATTCGCATGCAGGCTCGCGGCACTTGTCACTACACGTGTGCGTCGCTTCTCCTCAAACTCAAAGCCGAGCTTTGTGTCGGCCACCTTCTTGCCAAGGCGTCGCCCTGAGACATAGTACGCTGCTACCCGCAGGGACCAAAGACGACCATTATAAGTCCGGAGGACGGGGTTGAAAAGGACTTCGCGTTCGACTATTCTTACTGGTCGCATGA